AAACACAATTCTTTCCAACAGTTTGCTAAGAGCTGGCAGCAAGCTTATAGGTCTGCTGTTAGAACCAGTAAAGGCCGCTTTACCACTCTTGGGTAGCGGAATTACTTTGGCTTCCCTCCAGGCCTGAGGACAAAGACTTTCCTCTAGGCTCAGATTAAATAAATGACAGATAGGAGTGGTTATAGAGTCAGCTAACATCCTCAGTAGCTTTCCATCGAAGTTGTCAATGCCAGGAGGTTTGTCATTATTGATCGATAACAATTATTTTTCCACCTCTCCCACACTAACTTTACAAAATTCAAACTTGCAATGCTTTTCTTGTTGGCATTTCCTGCCTAAGTTTGCCCACTTTGCCAATAAAGTAATCATTAAAATAATTGGCAACATCAAATGGTTTTGTGATGAATAAGCCATCTGATTCGATGAAAGATAGAGTTGAATTTGTTTTTCTGCCCATAATTTCATTTAAAGTACTCCAAAGTTTTTTTCAATCATTCTTTATATCATTGATCTTGGCTCCATAATAAAGTTTCTTCTTCTTTTTGTTGAGTTTAGTCACATAATTTCTCAATTTGCATTAAGTCAGCCAGTCAGATGTGTAGCCAGACTTATTAGCCACTCCTTTTGCCCCATGTCTTTCAACCATACAGTTTTTCAATTCCTCATTAATCCATGGAGCCTCAAAAGCTCTAACAGTCAGTTTCTTAACAGGTGCATGCTTATCAATAATTGGAAGAAGCAATTTCATAAATTCATCAAGTGCAGCGTCTGGATGCTCCTTTTAATCACATCATATTTTTAACATCATCCACATAAGAGTCACAGCAAAATCGACTGGGTACAAGAACTCTGTTGAAAGGAGCGATAACTGGACTAGCGTTAAGTGTTGAGGAGGGTTTGGTCAAGTTGAAGATGAAGTTGAAGATTCCCGGTGTCTGTGACGACCGCCGTTTGGTGCAACGCAGACCTGGTGGAGAGCGTGGTGAAACAGAGAAGACACTGTCTGTCCTTCTGAATTTTGATGCAGAGTTTTTAAAGATAAAGTAAAGTTAGGATGTGCAAGTTATCCCATGAGAGCTTTTGTCTCTAACCCATTACGGTGTTTTAGGTGTCAAGCTTATGGTCGTGTCAGCAGTCTGTAGGAGGAAGATTGCTAGATGTGAGAAGTGTGCAGGAGGACATGAGGCAAAGGAATGTGTAGTATCGGTGGAAAGAGTTGTGTGTGTAAACTGTAGGGGTACGCATGGTGCTGGAGATCAGAGGTGTCCGGTGAGAGAAAGACATGTTGAGGTTGCCAGGATCAGAGTAGTACAGAAGGTGTAATATGCTGAGGCAATGAAGAGAGTAGTAGAGGAAGATGGGTCCAGGGTGCCTGTGAGTAGGCCGAGGTCAATAGAGAGTGATAGGAATAACGATAGTAAGGTTGGTTTTTTTGGCGTTCATGGCCATGTTTGTCAGCTGTATCACAGGAATGGAACATAAATCACAGAGGATAGATGTTGTGGTGGCAGCTGCAGAGAAGTACTTGGGTGTACGAGATTTTACTGCAGAAGAGTTACAAGGTGTTTTTAACGATAGTGTCCTGTCCTCCCAGGCTGTTGGCCTGATGTAGGATCAGATAGCGCAAAAGTAGTGGAATAGTGATGAGGTTTTAATGGGGTGTAGGGTTAGTTGGTAGGGCAATTTTTTCACAAAGTGTAATGAATTCATACTACAGAATAGTAGGCTGATATACAGCCAATAAAGTAGGTGGAGTCATGCACCTATAACGTTTGTTTGCGGACCACCATAATACCAAAGAAGAAGATACTTGTTGAACAGCAGGGGGCACTCAAGTCCTACCTAGAGGGAGGAAGACAGAATAATGGAGTGGCATGTCAAGCAAGAGCAGGGGAGCAGAAACAGAGGACAGAGCAGGCAAAGCAATGAGACGATGGTGTCAGTTTCATAAATATGTCAGGAGCCAGAAAGCATGAAATGTCATTACCATTTAAGATTACCTTGGCTGAAATGCTTCGGCAAAGGTATTTTCTTTTGCCCAAGGGGTTATTTGACAGACTTTCTGACGTTCAGTACCAGCTGCTGCGTGTGATTATTCTACTGATTTTAAATTCTTAGGGAATCATGTCAACTTGAAGGCTACTTCTGAATTCGACAGGGACCCTATCTCAATACATGATTCCCTAAGAATTTAAATCAGTAGGAAAATCACAGTAGCCAAGGGATACACCTACATTATGTGTGAGTTTATACACACGTAGTGATCTTATCTAGCAATGGTTGTCTGCTCTTTTGTTCCAACTGGGAGGGTAGGTGATGAATTAAATGCAGTGAGCTGGGAGCAGTGAACTAGTGACAGATAATACATGTGGAGCAGTAAAGAAAGCCTATGGGATATCATATTGCTATCCTGGAATCCAAACTGATATGCTCCGTTTCATCATTGTTTCAAACAGATATCAGTTTGGATTCCAGGCTATGCAGGTGCATTTTATAAGTGATGGGAAAAAGAAGAGAGAAAGAGCTCCTAGGCAACAACATTCTCATGTTGTGTAAATTCTTTATTATGCATCATCACCACCATGCAAAATCACTTACATGAACTAGCCCGAAAATCATACTAGATATATTTCACACATTTATGATTTAAAATTGGCTTGCGCCACTTCTTTTCAAGTGACTGGGTAACATTTACACACACTGAGCTTGGGTGTGACTGTGAGTATCTTTGAGTGTATGTTTGAGGGAGATTTGTGTGTGAGTGAGTAGAAGAACACTAATAATTTGGTCAGAACATTTAAATGACAATGCAACTTCAAAATCTATGGTAAAATAGAAGATATTGATTCTGAAACATGGTAAACAAACAATGTTCTCTGTTCTTGCAAGTGTAAACCTTAGAATCTGGAGTGTTATGAACATTGTTGTCCATTATATGTTCTGTACTGTCCATTCTATCTACTATGTGCTGTCTATGTACTGTACTCCCTACTCCAATTTCATTTATATCGTCACATCTTCAAATCTCAAGCAGCTATTCATAAAATGAACTCAACTATAACTCTTAATCAATGTATAGCTATTAGTTAACAAAATCCTTCAGTAGACAACACTTTCCAGCATCAGATGTATCATAGGTTCAGCTTCTTCGTCCTATACTGTCTCATTCTCTTAGTATCACCTACCGGCTTAATACTCCAGGTGGAATTCAATCAAATCTGCAATGAGACAAACACAAAATGCAGAAGAATGCAAATAACATTGTTCCTCTGCTGCGAAGTTGTCTTATGTAATACAGTACTATTAACTACTAGACAATATTTCTGGGTGATTTTGACAGTGAATGTAAATTTGCATTTTAACAGTGGCTGGAACAATGTTAGCTACAGTACATGCTGCATTGAAGGTCTCTGACTGTACCCCATCCAAAAGTGAGCTAGGCTAACCAGCTAAGGCAGGGCACACAATATGAGATATGTATCAAATAAAATAAACTATCTGACAAGCCACTCTTTCAATAGGTCAAACTAAAAGCTAAAAGGTCAAACAACAAATACAAAAGCCATACAACACCAGTAGTTAGAAATCATTGGACTGGTGGGCCAACCTGGTCATAGCGGTCAGACATACTGTAGCTACCTTCTGGGTTATAGACAGTTGTGCCTCAGTTTACACATACACCACGTTTACTATTTGGATTAAAAAGCAATCTCACGGAAAGACAACGGCCAGGTTTGTCCAGCAATACACCTACAGTAGGGGTGTCAAACATACGGGTCGGAGGGGGTCCAATCCGGCCCGTGGGTGGTTTGAGTAAAAATATACTTTAAAATGACTAAAATCAAATCGAAACTGTGTAGAAATGATAATGGACCTATACTCATATAGTTTCTTGACGGTCCAGCTTGCTATTAAACACTAGACAGTCATAGAGCATAGAAAATTCCCAAAATGATTGATAGAGGACAATTTTTCTGCAAATTTTGACAGCAAGGAAATATTTAAAACATTCAGTGCGGCCCTCCGGACCTCGTTGAAGACCGAATGCGGCCCCAGGAAAAAATGAACTACAGCATATACTTGAACAATTCTTCAACAACTCGTACCCAAAAATAATATGATTAGAAATCAACAAATAATTCTCAATAAAGTTATTAGATTTTATGGCACCGGTGGTATAATAGACAGCTGTGTTGTTTTATAATCCCTCCATATCGGTTCACAGTATTCACTTAAAAACGCTGTTGGTTTAAAAAATAGATCTTTACATAATATAACTATGTATTCTATTGTTGGATTTAGCAGTGTCATAACTTTGATCCTTCCTCCTTGTCACTTCTTTTTTAGCTTGGCTTGGAGCCCCTGCATGCATGTGGACCATCATCTCTTCACAGCGTTCTCTATATGCCTTCTCATCTCATCCATCTTCCAGTGTTTTTCTACTTTTGTTGCTTTTCATATTGCTTACCTGTTGAGAGGAGCGGGAGTTAAATACTCTGCCCATTTGTGCTGGAATATATCGTAGTAAGAAAAAATATATTCCAGGCAGTGAATCAAATAGACACAGAAGATTAATAGTTATTATTTTTGCGCAGTGAACATCAAATGGTAAGAACATTTAAAAGACCACAGAGAAATGAATTAGGCTTCTTACCAGGAGACTTCTTAAATATGGTCATTGCTGCAAAGTCACCTGTATGGCACCAGGAACACAGCCAAAACGAAGAGAGAAGAATTCAAATCAAATCAAATGTTATTTGTCACATGCGCTGAATACAACATGTGTAGACCTTACAGTGAAATGCTTACTTACAAGCCCTTAACCAACAATGCCGTTTTTAGAAAAACAAGTGTTAAGTAAAAAAATAGATAAGTAAAAAATAATAATTAAAGAGCAGCAGTAAAATAACAGTAGCGAGGCTATATACAGGGGGTATGTGTAAGGAATATGTTTTGAAATTCACTTATTTTCCATAATAATAACTCAAACAATAGCTCACCATACAGGTTTTCTCTTGCTCCTGTCTGTGTTTCAGTAGTTCCCCCATCTTCAGCTCATCCTCCAACACCTGAACCAAGTCGTTCTCATAGCACTCCTCCTCAACTCCACCAGGGTTCATGCCACCAACACTATGGAGGTAAATCTAACATTACCATACTACAATCTACTGTATATGATTTTTAGCTTTTTATAGAGATTCATACAGCATATCTACACACTGTGCATATTTCATACTGTAGTTACCGTGGTTTAGTGGTCATCTGTGCTAGAAGATCGGAAGTGGGAGAGGAGACCAGTTCATCTGTCTGAGAGTCCATGTTGCTATCTGACTGAATTCCAGCCTCTGAAGAAGACAAAACACACACAGCTTTAAAATGCTCTGAGGATGTGAAAGGTATATTTTCAAAAGTCAGAGACACAGTGAGACCATAGTATTACCTGAATTGAGCTCTTTAACCAATGAAGACATGGTGTTGGTGATGGAGTCAGCAGCAACAAGGAGGTCATTTCTCAAGTTCCTCCTGGGGCCTGGGGATAGAACAGAGGCTGGTACATAAGCCTACACACACTGTGGCTTTCCAGAACCTGAGGAGGCTACTGCACTCCTAACTGTAAAGGTGTGTGTGTGTGTATTACCCTGAGCGAAGGCCTCCTGCACATCCCCTCCCACACCCATGAGTGAGTCCTGAGGGGTGTGAGTGGGTGTGGTGCCGGCAGACTCTGACTGGGTTGGCATGGGGATGGGCCGGCTGACTGTGTGGCTGGGAGACGAGCGGGGGGAGCCAGGCCCTTGAGTCTGAAACAGGAAACAGGAAGTATGGGTTTAGTGTGACTCTAGGTGTCACTTCTTGTCACTGTGTCAGTAGTAGCAGTAACACACCAGTGCAGTAACAACCAGTGATGATCCACATTGATCCATCTAATGTTTGTGGAGCTATTTCTATACTGAATTATTCAGTTATTTAGTTTGGTTTAGTTTATTAGGATCCCCATTAGCTACAGCAGCTACTCTTCCTGGGGTCCACATAAAACTTACAAATACATTTTATCTGTTTTTTTAAAAGATAAACATCTGGTGGCAGAGCATTACACGATGGCATGGCTCTATACAATGGCTCTATACATAACTACATCTGTTTTTGGTTTGGGTACTGTGAAGAAACCCATAGTGGCGTGTCTGGTGGGGTATGTATGTCTGTTCAAAGTGTATGCAAATAGATTATTTAAGTGGTTAGCCATTTTTAACACACAAATGTTTCTTATAAAGAAGAGAAGTCGTCAATTTCTCCTCAACCCTCAAAGCCTGAACAACTAGTACAGTTGATCTTTGTGTTAATAACAGACATACCTCTCCCATCTTCACAATAACTTTGTCAATATGACTTGACCATGATAACTGACCATCCAATGTTACTCCTAGGAGTTCAGCTGCTTTGAACCAAATACAATGCTTTTGGTTTTTGATGTATGTAAGACCAGTTTATTGTTAATTACCCATTCTGACACTGACTGTAACTCCTGAGAGTCTCAGTGAGCTCCCTGGCTGTAGGTGCTGATGTGTAGAGTGTGCAATCATCAGCATACAGTGCCTTGCAAAAGTAGTCATCCCCCTTCGCATGTTTCCTAATTTGTTGCATTACAACCTGTAATTTAAGTGGATTTTTATTTGGATTTCATGTAATGGACATACACAAAATAGTCCAAATTGGTGAAGTGAAATGAAAAAAAGAATTTGTTTCAAAAAATTATACAAAATAACTAACGGAAAAGTGGTGCGTGCATATGTATTCACCCCCTTTGCTATGAAGCCCCTAAATAAGATCTGGTGCAACCAATTACCTTCAGAAGTCAAATAATTAGTTAAATAAAGTCCACCTGTGTGCAATCTAAGTGTCACATGATCTCAGTATATACAGTATACACATGTTCTGAAAGGCCCAAGAGTCTGCAACACCACTAAGCAAGGGGCAGCACCAAGCAAGCGGCACCATGAAGACCAAGGAGCTCTCCAAACAGGTCAGGGACAAAGTTGTGGAGAAGTACAGGTCAGGGTTGGGTTATAAACAAATATACAAAATTTTGAACATCCCACGGAGCACCATTAAATCCATTATTTAAAAAATGGAAAGAATATGGCACCACAACAAACCTGCCAAGAGAGGGCCGCCCACCAAAACTCACGGACCAGGCAAGGAGGGCATTAATCAGAGAGGCAACAAAGAGACCAAAGATAACCCTGAACGACTGCAAAGCTCCACAGCGGAGATTGGAGTATCTGTCCATAGGACCACATTAAGCCGTACACTCCACAGAGCTGGGCTTTACGGAAGAGTGGCCAGAAAAAAGCCATTGCTTAAAGAAAGAAATAAGCAAACACGTTTGGTGTTCACCAAAAGGCATGTGGGAGACTCTCCAAACATATGGAAGAATGTACTCTCGTCAGATGAGACTAAAATTGAGCTTTTTGGCCATCAAGGAAAACGCTATGTCTGGCGCAAACCCAACACCTCTCATCACCCCGAGAACACCATCCCCACAGTGAAGCATGGTGGTGGGGATGTTTTTCATCGGCAGGGACTGGGAAACTGGTCAGAATTGAAGGAATGATGGCGCTAAATACAGGGAAATTCTTGAGGGAAACCTGTTTCAGTCTTCCATAGATTTGAGACTGGGACGGAGGTTCACCTTCCAGCAGGACAATGACCCTAAGCATACTGCTAAAGCAACACTCGAGTGGTTTAAGGGGAAACATTTAAATGTCTTGGAATGGCCTAGTCAAAGCCCAGACCTCAATCCAATTGAGAATCTGTGGTATGACTTAAAGATTGCTGTACATCAGCGGAACCCATCCAACTTGAAGGAGCTGGAGCAGTTTTGCCTTGAAGAATGGGCAGAAATCCCAGTGGCTAGATGTGCCAAGCTTATAGAGACATACCCCAAGAGACTTGCAGCTGTAATTGCTGCAAAAGGTGGCTCTACAAAGTATTGATTTTGGGGGGGGTTATGCACGCTCAAGTTTTCTGTTTTCTTTCTCTTATTTCTTGTTTGTTTCACAATAAAAAATATTTTGCATCTTCAAAGTGGTAGGCATGTTGTGTAAATGAAATGATACAAACCCCAAAAAAATCCATTTTAATTCCAGGTTGTAAGGCAACAAAATAGGAAAAATGCCAAGTGGGGTGAATACTTTTGCAAGCCACTGTACATAGTCCTTTTAGCTTCTTGCAAAGAAAAAGCTATATCTCAGACTGGCCAATAAAAATAAAAGATTAAGATGGGCAGTCTGAGATATGGCTTTTTCTTTGCAACTCTGCCTACAAGGTCAGCATCCCGGAGTCGCCTCTTCACTGTTGACGTTGAGACTGGTGTTTTGTGGGTACTATTTAATGAAGCTGCCAGTTGAGGACCTGTGAGGCGCCTGTTTCTCAAACTAGACACTCTAATGTATTTGTCCTCTTGCTCAGTTGTGCACCGGGGCCTCCCACTCCTCTTTCTATTCTGGTTAGAGCCAGTTTGCGCTGTTCTGTGAAGGGAGTAGTACACAGCGTTGTACGAGATCTTCAGTTTATTGGCAATTTCTCGCATGGAATAGCCTTCATTTCTCTGAAAAATAATAGACTGACGAGCTTCAGAAGAAAGTAATTTTTTTCTGGACATTTTGAGCCTGTAATCGAACCCACAGGCTGATGCTCCAGATACTCAACTAGTCTCAAGAAGGCCAGTTTTATTGCTTCTTTAATCAGCACAACAGTTTTCAGCTGTGCAAACATAATTGCAAAAGGTTTTTCTAATGATCAATTAGCCTTTTAAAATGATAAACTTAGATTAGCAAACACAACGTGCCATTGGAACACAGGACTGATGTTTGCTGATAATGGGCCTCTGTACGTCTATGTAGATATTCCATTAAAAATCAGTCGTTTCCAGCTACAATAGCCATTTACAACATTAACAATGTCTACACTGTATTTCTGATCAATTTGATGTTATTTTAATGGCCAAAAAAATTGCTTTTCTTTCAAAAACAAGGACATTTCTAAGTGATCCCAAACTTTTGAACGGTAGTGTATATGATGTTAGAGTAGCTTCCATTGAAGAATACTCTCTGAGTTCTATTGGATAACTAACTCTCCAACCATGTGATGGCAGGTGATGATGTAAAGCCATAACAAGTTAGTTTTTTCAATAACAAATTATGATCAGTAACATCAAAGGCTGCACTGAAATCTAACAATACAGCTCCAACTATCATCTTATTATCAGAGTCAGTGCAGTACAAGTTGAGTGCACTTCCCTATATGCATGCAGAAAGTCAGTAATTAACTTATTTTTTATATATATATATCATTGTATTTGTTCAAACACAATTCTCTCCATCAGTTTACTAAGAACAGGCAGCAAACTGAGTGTGGACACACTCCTTTAGGCTTTGGTTAAAGACATGGCAAATAGGGGTGGCTATACAGTCTGCTGCCATTCTCAATAGTTTCCCATCTAGATTATCTATACCTGGTGGCTTATCATTATTGATGGATAACAACCATTTTTCCACCTCTTCCACACAAACTTGACCAAATTCAAAACAGCATTCCTTCTCTTTCATTATTAGATGTTCAATACACAAATATGATGGTTCACTGTTCAATGTTGTCATTTCACTTCTCAGTTTGTCCACTTCACCGGTGAAATAGTCATTGAAATGATTGGCTATATCAAAAGGTTCAGTTATAAATGACCCATCAACTTCAATGAACGATTGAGATGAATTGGGTTTTCTGCCCATAATATCATTTACGGTGCTCCAAAGTATTTTCCTATAGTTTTTTTATGTAATTTATCTTGTTTTGGTAATATATATATATATATATATATATATATATATATATATAGTCACAAAATGTTTCAGTTCATCATCGATCCAGGGGGCTCTAACAGTTCTCACAGTTAGTTTCTTAACAGTTGCATGTTTGTCAACAATTGGTAAGAATACAATTACAAATTCTCTGGGTGCTGCATCTGGATTCTCCTCCTTATACACATCAGACCAACATACATTTTTTACATCTTCAACAAATGAGTCCTGAGAAAACATTTTGTATGATCTCTTATAAATATCTTTAGGCCCTTCCTTTGGTACTTTGTCTTTCCTTGTTATTGCCACAATGTTATGGTCACTAGAGCCAATGGGAACTGATATTGCTTTGGAGCAAAGCTCTGCAGCATTGGTGAAGATATGGTCAATACAAGTGGATGTCACAGATCCAACACTATTGGTATACACTCTAGTTGGTTGAGTGATAACCTGGGTCATGTTACAGGCATTAGTCACAGTAAGAAGCTTCCTCTTGAGAGGACAACTAGATGATAACCAGTCAATGTTCAGGTCACCAAGAAAATACATTTATCTGATACATTCAGGGACCTTATCTAACATCACAAACATATTCTCCCAGATACTGACAGTTTGCACTTGGTGACCTATAGTAGCACCCTAAAAGAAGAGGCTTCAGATGAGGCAGGTGAACATGCAACCACAGCACTTCTACTTCACTTGTCATGAGATCCTCTCTGAGCTCCCCCATAGACATTCCTGTCTTTTCTATAGATGTTATATCCTTGTATTCCTACTGCTGTATCATCAAATGCGCGTTCTAAGTGAGTCTCAGAAATTGCTAATATATTCATACTATCTAAGATTAGCAAATTACTAATGTCATGAACTTTGTTTCTGAGGTTACATATATTTATATGAGCTAACGTTAACCCTTTCCTGGGTATCTTATGTAAAACTGAACT